CCGCTCCACTCCGCCTGCCCGCCAGGTCCGGCGCTCCTGCCTGCGCGCGGCCGCCGGACGAGGACAAGGACAGCGGGCCCGTGCCCCTGCCCCGGCGGCCTGCCCCTTGGGGAGGGGTCTTTCCTGAGGTGTTTCTTTCAGCCCGCCCCGCTCGGTGCACAGCTGGGGGTTGTGTGGTCCGCCGGCAGTACGGAGCGGGGAAGGTATCTGCCTCCTGTGAAGGCCAGCGCCGGCGCCGTCACCGTCTCTCGGGACCAGGGCCCTGCCGGGCTCCTACACCGGCGCCCAGCACCAGCAGCTTCCCTCGCTGCAGCAGCGGGGGCTCTGCTGTCCTCGCTCTGTTACGGAGAGCTGGTTCTCGGCTGCCTGAGGCTCCAGCCGTCCCCCCAAACCTGTTCTGCACGTAGCAGTTTTGAACACGGGGTTCTCATGCAGTTATTGCAGTGCATGAAAAATACGGGTGGAAACACATTTTTAAACAAACTGGCAAAGCAAACATGAATAACCGTAATAATACTATACTATTAGAAGTAATGAGGCACTGGAGCCTGGTGGTTCTTGCAAATATTTTGAATTTGTGGCCAAGTTGAAGAAAGGCAGCACTCATTTCCTCTTCCATTGAAAGACGTCTTTCTCTCCTTGTTTGTTCATGGGATAGTATTTATCTCTGTGCCAAGGAAAACTTGGAGCTAGATAGCTTTCATTCCACAGACTCAGCTTACCTATCCACAGTCTTGTTTTAAAACCACTACCTGAACTTGTGCTCACTTCAGGTTCGTCTGCTTCTGAACACACAGATTCACTCTAACATACACTTTCACTACAAGGTTCCTCAACATTTTGCATTTTTACAGGGATGATATTAATTAGAAAGGTAACCCTCCTTAATCATAACCAACCATACAAGTCACAAATGGATGCTTGGTGTGATGTTACACTGTGCAAGAAGAGCTGAGCTTAGCTGGCCAGTCCTGAATGGGTTATCTGAAGGCGTATAAGCAATTTGCTTGTGCTACTACTTTCACTGGTAGACATGGGAAACGCCCCCTCTTAGTTTTCACACATTTTTTAGCAATGGAAAAATACTAGAGCAATTCTTCTGTTGCAAAGAACTCAGCAAGACCACGACAGGTCAGAATGGCTTTGACATTATGGATTCCTAACTGAAATCTCTGAGTTTATCTTGTGAATCACGGGCAGGTGCTTCCACACCTAACAGTGCTAATTAGAATCACTGACTTAGTGGCTCCAACTATGTTCCAGGAGCCCACAGTTGGAGACATATCTCATGAAACCGTAGTCAGTCAACATCTCCCTGTGGTTGTGAAGGGCCATCAGTATGAGCTATTACTCAGGCAGCTTGGGCAACATCTCAGCGTCTGGCCTTGAACTGCCCAGAGGGAGGAATGCTGCTGTTGAGGCGGATCTGTGAGCCGGTGGCTTTTCAGACAAGAGAGATTCCTGTCCCTCTGCTGTCCCCCGTTGAGAAGGGTTAACGTGCAAAGTCACATCCCAGCAGCCCACTGAGCACTAGAAGTGTCTGCTGGGGGAGGAGGGCTAGCATTCCACTGTGGTTATTTGGCTGGGGGAGTTGATGCCTGACAATGAATCATCAAGTAGCTCAGTTCCTTGGCCTAGATTTCTGAACATAAGAACTGCCATTTCCTAGGTCAGACTAGATCTATCTTGCCCGGTATCCTGTATCACACAGTGGCAGAGATCGGATGCTGAAAGGGAGACTGACCTGGGTATGAACAGGGATTTTTCCACTGTTTCTCATTTGCAGCTTCCAGCATTTAAGGTCTAGGAAGTTCTGATTAAGAGGCTGTACACTTAACTCCCATGCTCAATCACTTCACAAATCTCAAAAGGGCTTTCACTCAACAAGGGCACTCCTCCAAGAGATAGATCGCACTTTTGAAAGAGCCACCCAGATTCCAAGCAAAGAATTGCTGCAGGACAAAAAGAATATCCCCATGAATTGCACACCGCTAGTTATTACATATCATTCCTCCCTGGAACCTATACAGAAAATCCTCAAAGAATTGCAACCCATACTAGTAGGAGATCCGATTCTTAAAGAGAACTTCCCAAAAACACCCATCTTAGCCTTTAAACAAGCCCCAAACCTCACCAACCTATTCACCAGAAACAAATTCCCTATGGCACAAAACACAGCAAATGGATCCAGACCATGCCATGACAAGAAATGAAAAACCTGCCAACATATCTCCATCAGTCCCACAATAATTACATCCCACAACAGAACCATCACCATTCCTGGATCTTACACCTGCGTCTTCAGAAATGTAATATCTCATCCAGTGCACTAAATGCCCTGCTGGAATGAATATATGTAGGAGAAAGCAAACAACAAATGCACAGCAGAATGAACGCACACCGAAAATCTATCAAAGACAAGAATACCCAATTACTGTTGTTGGGGGGCACATTTCTCACAGGAAAATCACTCCCTCTCCACCTCTCAGTTCTAATCCTCGAAGGGAATTTACAAAACACCTTTCACAGACGAGCCTGTGAACTTCACTTCATCAACCTCCTGGATACAAAAAATCATGGACCAAATATAGACATTGGATTTATGACACATTATATAACCTGTCTAACATCTGATACCCCAGGTAACCTCTCTATAATTTATCAGCTATATTCTGATCACCAGGTCTACATTTGCCTTTCCTCCGCCCTCCTACAATGTGTCTCTTACCCATTAACTGCCTCAGTTTGCATTTTCACTGACTGGCTTTCTTGCATGCATACTGGCCTCTGGCTTCTTTTATATTCCATTCAGAAAGAGCACAGAGCAACTGCAGATGCTTCCTCAGCCTGACAAAGGGTGTTTATACCCGAAAGCTTGCAAAGAAGAATTTTTCCAACTATTTTAGTTGGTCTAATAAAATATATCAGATTTACCCAAACAACCTTGTCTGCTTGTGTCCTTAGACCAACTTGGCTGCAGCATATACCCCCAATAGCTACTGATGTACCTTTCTCCCAAGACTTCCATTTTTTAATCTGGCTGAACTGTCAGCTTTCACAGAATCTTGTGATTCTGTGAAATTTACACTATGTGAAAAAAACTTCCTTTTTTTAGTTTTAAACTTACTACGCAATACGTTTCACTCTTTAATTATACACTATGTGAAAAAAACTTCCTTTTTTTAGTTTTAAACTTACTACTTACAAGTTTCATTTTACAACCCCTAATTCTTGTACTATGTAAATAGGAAATTCATATCCACTTTCTCTTCACCATTTAGTATTTTATAAACCCTTATCATGTCCCCTCTCCAGTATCTCTTTTCTAAACTGAATAGGCTTAGCCTCTTTAGTCTTGCATATGAAAGCCCCTTCATATCACTATTCATTCTAGTTGCTCTTCCCTGTACGTTTCTTGCCCTTCTTTATCCATTCACTCTAGTTGCTCTTCCCTGTACGTTTCTTGCCCTTCTTTATCCATTTTGAGGTGTGGGGACCAGAGTGGGGTACAGTATTCAAAGTGTGAACTCATCATGGATTTATAAAGGGACATAATGATACTTTGTATTTTATTCACAGTTTCCTGCTTAATAAGCCCTAATTTTGTTTCCCTTTTTCACAGCTGCTGAGCACTGAGCTGGTGTTTTTAGCAAACCACCCACGGTGACTCCTAGATCTCTTTCTAGTGTGATAACCTCTAATATAGAG